CCGTGACAGTTAACCATTCTAGCAACCAATATGTAGTATCAAGATGCTTTCTTATTTTGCATATTTGCTAGTTGCCCTTTGATGACAGTATTATATGGTCAAAATCTATTCTTTCTTACAGGAATTTGTGATGATTATGAGTCATGAATTCCTTCCCAGTTCAAACTCCCAAGCTCCATCCGATACCATCTTTTGATAGCAAAAAGGGTCTTTGCCCACCCAAACGAAGATCATTCAGATCAAGGAAAAAGTCTAATACTAAATTAGTAACATTAATAATCACTACTCTATGACCCAAACCTTCCACCAACCTGAAGGATTTCGATTTTCACTACCAAAGTAAATTATAATGATTTTGATGTTGTTCCAGCCATCCCAACTGTAATTAAGTCGAAAATATTCCATGGAAGTTAAAGTATCGGCGCTAGCCCAACCTGGTAACTGGGTTGGACACCTCAGCAAAGATTTTGAAGATTCAGGCTCAGTTCAGTTCAACCCGAATGGACATCTTCATCCCAACAACCTGCCACTCTTTCTGCTCCTCAATAAAATTATTACCGCTTTGCATGATGGAAAAACAAAATTACCTGTTTTATTTTATTATTAACAATAACACACTTAATCATACAGTCCACACTGCCTGTTTGATGAGGTATTGACATAATTCAAGCCGCCATTAATTTGCAACTACCCGGAACGGCCAAGGCTGAATCGGATTAATGGTGAACTTTATTACCTCGGGACCGCTCAACATCGCTGCGACTGAATGTTCACCAGCCTAAAGAGGAAAAAACTAGTGTAATCGAAAATTTTAGAAGTAATGTTGCAACGTGCATTGCATTTTTGAGCCCATTTTTGGAACTTGAATCGTTAAAACTAACTGGCCAAGTCTGTCTTAGCAATTTCCAGCAACCTACGCTCCAGGTCCAGTGCTATTACACGAGAGTAGAGTCTAAAAATATCTCCCATGCTTAAGCTTGTGGCAGCCAAGCTCGGAACATTTTCTTAAAGCATGAGAATATTGGATAATGTCAAGGCATTTTTCCTTTCAATCGTCCTATTCATTGGCCAAATGCTTGGCAATTCTGAGCCACCAGCATTGCCACGGCCAGCTGCCTCCCCTGCCGATGACATTGAAGCAGCAGTACTTGAGCTGCCGCTGCACGCTTCTGCTGCAAGAAACCAAGAACTCCAGCGGCTGATTAATTTTGTAGCTCTTCAGCAGAGTCTCCAACGGCAAAATGTAATCTTAACATTTTGCTTCACGTCAGCTATTGAAGTATCCCTACACCGGTAATCCTCACAAATCAATCAGACCCAATATCCTCCCATTTTTTTATCTTTGGCTATTTTATTCACCTTTCTTCTTCTTTTGGTTGTAAAGCTAATGGATGGGACGTTTGCCAAGATTTTCCGAGTGTTGGAGAAAGTTGGAATCCTCCTTGGCGCAGCTGCGTTCTGCTACATTGTCGCAATCCCATTTTCACCTGGCCTCATGTACACTATCTCCGCTATCTCCTTGCTTATTGCTCTGGTCTGTAAATGTATCCATGTCACGGGCAAAGCTGGTTAGAGTTGGTCATATCCCGTTTCAGCTTTCAAATAAATTGAATTATGGTCAAGTGAGAACGCTCGTGCTCTTTCTAGTTGCAATGCGTGGAGGAAATTATGGTTTTGCTTTCTTCTCTGTTTTATAACCAAAGAGCACTAATTAAACTCTTATGTTTTCTTTTTTGAAAATCTAATTAAACTCCTATCTATTAAATTACAGTAAAATCTCTATAAATTAATACTTTTGAAACCATTAAAATTTATTAATTAACCAATATATTATTTAATTAATAAATTAATAATTTATATATTAATTACTAAAACATTAATTTATTCATATATATTTTTTAAAACCTTTAACTCAATGCATTTATTGTATATTGTAGTTATACGAATATTGCATAATTATCAAAGTACTAATTATCATTATTTTATATATTATTTAATTAAAACAAGTTCATGAATATAATTAATCTTATTATACTCAATGCATTTATTGTATATTGTAGTTATACGAATATTGCATAATTATCAAAGTACTAATTATCATTATTCTATATATTTGTTTAATTAAAACAAGTTCATGAATATAATTAATCTTATTATAACTCAATGCATTTATTGTATATTGTAGTTATACAAATATTGCATAATTATCAAAGTACTAACTATCATTATTCTATATATTTGTTTAATTAAAACAAGTTCATGAATATAATTAATCTTATTAAATAAAAGTTATGAATTTATCTATTTTTACAACAAACTAAAATTATATTTGATATATACTTAATTAATATACTTCATGAACATTAAGTAAAGGAAAAACATGTATAAAAAGAATATACAATATCACAAATGATAAAACTAAACACAATGACTTGTTACTATATAAATAAATCAATAACGATGGATGACATGCGTAAAACATATATAGAAAATCTAAATTGTACCAAAAAGCAATTATAATAATAGATATAAAAAAAATTTAACTTACAAATAAGTCAAGTAATAATATCAAATACAATCAAGACGCGCTCAAATAAAAAATCATATTGTATAATTTTCTTTTACAATACTAGAACATTATACTGAAGCTTCTTAATCCACTAAAAAAAGTTATAAATGAGATTTATTGAGACATCAATTTAAAAAGAAACAAATAACATTAGAGTCATACTTTGTAAAGATCTCTTAATTTAGTCATATATATATATAAAATTATTAATTTATATATCAAATTAGACTTATATTTTTTCTTTAAATGTATTATCTTATAAATTTAAAAACTTATTAATTTATCCTGTTAATCCCAAGTAAGGATCGATTAAAAAAATTGTTTGACCAAGATTATTAATTTATCAAAATTTTATTGTAATTTTCTATTTAAGACATGATCTCTTCTTGAGTTTAACGAGAACATGAACGCATTTGCTAGACTAAAAAGATTAATACAAGCCATGGCCAAACCTTGTTGCACATTGTCTAGGAGAACGTTAGTACTTAAATCCTCTCACGTACAAATATATGAAAAATCACAATAACTCGCCACACTGGGCTCTGCTTCATTCTCTGTTATATATTAATGGGTTTAGATGATCTTAGGGAAGCTAATCACCCAACCAAAATTTTATTAATGGCTTGTTCCATGTATGACATAATTGGAGGGTTTTAATAGAATAGAGCCTTTAAATTTGTGCAACCCTTAATCATATTAATGGGTTTAGTCTAATATTATATTGATTTTGTTTGATTTATTTATTGATTTCTTCTGACGATATACCATTTGATATATATTAAAAATTATTTAGTCAAAATATTCTATTATCATCCATAGACTATTAAAATTGCACCAAAAAATATAATATACTATTAAAATTACACAAAAAAAGAAAAAGAAACCTATATACACAAAGCCTCCAACACAATTCAGCGGAAAATTCGACTCTTTCTTCATTATTTTATTAGCTTGTTAAGCCCAATGTTAATCTAACCATGGGCCACCAATCGAGCCCAACTATTTTATTCTTTAGTCCCAACAGTCCAACAGCAGCTAAAACAGAGCCAACCCTGTTCTGCTCCACGTTGTATGAGGAGCTTCTCCGCCGTCGTTGTAGGCGGCGCCAGCACCACCACTCATCACGCCGACCACCACTGATGAGGACGTTTCGTTCATGGTTTCAACTTTTGTAAAGGTACCAGAGAGTCCTTTTTGCCCTATTGCTGACTATTCTGCATTTTAGTAAAATTTTTGTGTTACAATTATCTTCTTTTAATCTAAAATAGACTCCATAGGCATATAAAATTTTGGGTCTTTCAAATTTTGTTTAGTTTTTCTCTATAGTTACGTTTAAGGGTATTTCTTTTTTTTTTTTTTCATATTCTAATGTGTATGAATTTATATCAATTTTGAGGTGCTTTTTTTTTTTGTTTCAAGTTATTGTTTTTGTGATTAATTTAAGTTGTTTAACGTCCTGTGCTCAGGTGCAATTGAAGTGTTTGCTTATATTTTTCAAAGAGAAATGATTAAGAGGCCAAAGCTAAAATCGTTACATGTTCTAGCTATTTTTCTACATCTGATGTCTTCTTTGTTTTCTTTCTAAGAGAAATTTTAAAATTTCAAGCTACCCCTTTTCTTTCATATAATGAAAGATTAGAACTTTAATTGAAGGGGCTTTGATTTTTGTGCATTGGTTTGTCTATGGCAGCATGAAGAAGTTTGTTTTTCTCGTCGTTGTGAATATTATTGATAAAACCAAACTGTTACCGGTTACTTTACTTCCAAACCAGGAAATATTGATCTTGTTCTGATTTCTCAGTTCCAATTGTTCATTTTCCAAGGTGTTTCATCACTTGCCAATATAAAATTTGGCATCTTGATTTCTATTGGTTATCAGTATAAGCGAAAGACTATTCAAAACAAGGTTTCGCTGTTATCTATACTTTTGATTACTTATGGAGAACATTGCAGCTGTCTAGGAATACAAGTGGAAAACTACTAGACATAACGGTGGTTTTGTTTTTCTTATATATTTGATTATGTTTTCACATTTGCAGGATCTAGCCACCCAGCTGAAAACTGCTTGTGTACTGTGTACAACTCGTATACTTTACAACGATCAGTTTCATCTCCGTTACCCTCCAGGATGAAGATGTATGTGCTTCCCTTCATTTTGTTTAGTTTGTTGCTTTAAATTAAATGCTTTAGCTTCTTTGGTCAATTTGTTGGTGACTTTCTCTCATTTTTTTTCTTATTCATTTGCCTTGAGGTTTATTTTTAAAAGTGTAAGAAGGTGTAGTCTTTTGCAGAAAAGAAGCTAATGCTGGTGCGCTTACCAATTTGGAAGTACTTGACTTTCTACGATCTAGAGGGGCTTCAAAGGATCCTACGAGAGTTATTGTTCCAATAGCACCCTCTGAATTCAAGGTTGAAATTTTATACTGATCTTTTTACATATTTATGTTCCTATGGTATTGAAGAAGTGAAAATGTATTTGTTGCTGAGTTGTCTTGGTATGTTCTAGGTCTATGATTATTTGGTGGAGAGTGCCGCTTGCAGTCAAACAAAAGAACACATCAATGACTTCTTGGAAAGGAGTAAAAACTATAAACTTGCAAAAGCTGAGGTCCTCAATATCATCAATCTGAGACCATCTGCTTTAGTTGAAATCGACCCGGTAAAACTTTTCTGTTTAATGTTTCTATTTTAGTAATATTCCTTGAGCACCATCAATCATATACATGTCATCCATGATCATTCCTGTCTTTTATTGCTATGGTGCATTTATTGAATAGCCAATTTGATTTGGTGAAGTGTCTTTCTTTGACACTTGCATTGCTGAATTTTATTTGTTTTCCCAGATAATTGAGCAGTCTGAGAAGCGTTTTGGAGAACAACTAGAAGAGTTGGTTAATTTGGTGGTGGAGGTGTTGCCAGAGCCTCCTACACAAAAGAATGCTGAACAAGGGAACAGTGAGGATAAAGAAGAAACTATAGACAGGAAAGACATGGATGAGGGTGAAAGGGAAACTGCAAATGGTGATGAGGATCCAGCAGAACAAACTGAAGATGGTGAGAAAATGGAGGATGGTTAAATCCCTCTATAATTCCAATAGCAATCCTGCTTCTCGATATATAAGCAGGGGAAAACCAGTTTGTTGATCTTATGAACTTCAGTAGACGAGTTCACCAGAACTAGGTTGCTATAGGCTGTAGCCATGGCATGAGATTATTATTATTTTTTTCCTATGAATCAGATGAGTTGTACAATTGAAATTCTAGTACTATACCTTGTTATTTTCATGGGCGCTTAAGGCAAACCATTCAATTTGTGGCTCAACCTGAATCGGGCTTTAGCGTGAACCTACCCCTAAACAAGGATTGCAAGGGGAATCCAATTAGGAAACTCTTATGTTGCATAAGATTGAAATGTTTGTACTTTGAGATGAGGGTGTGAACAAGGGTGTTGGATTTCAGAAAAAAGAGTTCTCGTAGATAAATCAACCACCTAGTCCACCAGCATCCCCCAACAATCTTGTCAAATCAAACATCACTTCCAAGAGTCAATTCTTTCTCTCTCTCTCTGTCTGTGTGCCCTGAAAACTGCCCACAGTTGGTGAAGGTGGTGACTGATGACTGGTGAAGGAGATGGGCAAACTGACCAACACCAACCTTTGGGATTTGAATATATTTTGGAGCCACCAAAGGCCCTGCCCCTCCCCCCTCCACCCCACCCTCTCCCTTCTTTTGGTCAAGCTGCCTCACCTAACCCAGAAAAATAGTTCACTTCTTTTTCCTCATGAATATTGTGAATTACAAAAACCCCTAATACTCTTACTTAAGCACTTACTAATAATTTTAAGGAAGAAATTCTAGCTTCTTGTGATAACAAAGAATTGATTCATCAATCTCAGATTTTAAGTTATCTTATACTTGAATACCATGATTCCAAATTGATGTTATAACTTATTCCTATTGGTATTTTGTTGCAAGTTAAAAATTATATATTTTAAAGAATTAAATCAGATAGTAGTACTGGAATTTTATAGAAGTGATTTTGTAATAAAAATTAAAAAAATATCGAGAATTTATTGTAAAAAAAAAAAGCTCGCAGTAGTAATTTATGAAAAGATAAATATGTCAGGTCTGGTGAAAGGACAGTTGAACAAGACATCATAAGGAAATTGGGAGTGGAATTCTCTGAGTACATCTACAAATAATCGTCCCTCTTTGATTGATATAAAGGTCTGTAGGGAGTAGGGACCCTTTAAAAGCAAAGCCTGAGCCTTCTTTTACTATTTTTCTTTTTGGCTTTTTAACAGTCTTTTGTTTCTTTGTTTTTGAAATTCCCTTCGTTTCTCATACCTTATTTTAGTAAGCAACACTGCACATGTAGCAAACAGATGTATTGTTCAAATTCCAACCCTGTAAGCAAAAGAACAGGAAGCAACCCCCTCGTGTGTCTACAGTCTACTGAATTTATTACGTGAGCTCTCACTATTTCCCCCTCTTCAGCAATGAACGGCTGACTTCTTTTTTCTCCTTCCATGGATTGTTGAAGGAGTGGAGAGTACAACTATATGTTCATCATAATGAAGAGAGGAAAGCTTATTCCTGCTTGCTATATATTGGAGCAAAGAAAAGATAGTATTCATGCATCTGTTTGAGATAGTATAAGCCTAACATTGTTGAAACTCATTGATTTGCATCAAAGCAACAATAATGGAAGAGAGGGGGGGGTGGGGGGGTGGGGTCCTGGGGGTGAGGTTTTTTCCTCAAGAATGTACCTCAAACACATGAAAAAAACTGATGTACTAACATTAAATTCAAATTTAATCGAAAGACTTTGAAATGAGCTTAGAAATCAAACTTGTTCCCTTGTTAGCAAACATTCCACATGCTATGGATTTTTCTTTTCCCTCAAGTTATTGGAATAACATCAGCCTGGGAGTAAACATATGAGCAAAACCGAGAGAAATTCACTGTGTACACACTTTTTGACCAAAGAAAGTTGACTCGTAATGAATTATCATAAATTTTCCCATGGTTCAATGGTGATGATACAAAGAAATGATCTGAATTCCGAAAATAAGTTATTTAATTCGGAAGGTTTCCCGTAAGATTCAAGACAATGATAACATAAATTCATTCGACTTTGTCTTGATGATCATCACTTCCCAACACAAGGCATATTCCTGCTGTCCATTTGCACTCTTCGTGAGCAGCAAGATCGAGCTAATGGTCTTAACTTAAGAAACATGTCTCCCAAACCCAAGTAAAAAAGGTTACTATAGTAAAGACATACGACAACTTGACAAGTAGACCAAAAGCATTGACACCACCCTAATGGCCCTAAACGAAGGTAGAGGGAATTTGACGGATTCAGTGAGGGAGCTGTGGGGAAATGGAAATAACAAAAGAGACCCTTTGAGGGCAGGGTACAATGAATGCTGTACGAATCCTTCAAACAGCGAAAGAGATTATGGATAGAGAGGGAAGGGAAAGGGAAAGAAAGAGAGAAGAAGAGAAGAAAAAGTGTGCATAGGATTAGAAGAAAGGAAACAAACAACCAACCAACCAGGTTTGCAGATGAGAGAGAGAAACAAACAAGATGTCCCCATCATTGTTCTCCTTTGCTGCTCTATCTCTGTGGGTTCCAATTCTACTCAGAATAGAAAATAATGGAACCCCATCTTATTGATCATTCACATGCACTTTTTCTTCCCTATCGACTCTTTCTTTGAATCAAGAACATTGCTGAGATGATTGTTACTGTTCAACAAGCAAAACCTGACAACACATCCCCCCATTTTCCTAACTTGAACTCCTCCCATCTCACTGGCTTCTTCTAGCATTTTACTCTTAAAATTCTTGATATTATTTCAGCATGACGGATCCTACAGCATTGAGTATAGATCGAACCAGAACTAAAGAAACCTATTCTGATTTTTGTTTTCAATTCCTCATTCAGATACCTAGAGATAGAGATGTCACAGGATACTTTTTAAGTGAAGTATTTTTCATGTAAAATCCATTAAATTTTCAATAAAATAATGTTATATAGAAGATGGCGCATGCAATTTTGACACGTTCGTGGACTTAGGTTAACTCTAACTCTACTAAATCCTACTTCAAATATACTCTTAAGAGCAGAGTATAAAATTTCGATATTTGCCCCAAAGATATTTCGTCATAATAAATATGGTAAAAATAACAAAGAAGGCTGAACTAAATACAGCTAAATCTGGGTTACAGACGGCTTCATATCAGATGTTGTAAACCATCATGACAATTGACAGTACTAAAAAAACCTGTTAACTGATGATATGTAGCTTGAAACAGATCTCATTTTCAGTGTCAGTATCAATTACTGCAATTTAAAGCTTAACAATAAGTGCTCAAAAAAGAGCAAGAAGAACAATATGCACGATACTACAAGTTAACATTATACTTGCAGCTTCTGTTTCTCATAAAACATAATCTTAATTACAGTCTTTAACTTCCAATCTGTCTCATACAAACTTGCTTTAATGCAAGTGAAAAAGGAAAAAGCAAAAGAGAGAGCAGCTGAAGAAGAACTAAAGAAAAGAAAAGAGAGAGAGATCTCTCTTGGTAATCTCACCTACAAATAACTTACATTCCCAAAGCTTTCCTGTCTCTCACAGGAAACGCAAAATCATTATATAAACATGAAAGAAGTCAAGAACCAACAATGTAAGTTACCAAAATAGCAATAATATATAGTAAGTATTATAAAAAAAAAATTTCTTCTTTTTTGAAAGGTCTTAGAATTTTAATGTGTTTGTTTGTTCTTTTTTTTCCTTTTAGGGCATAAAAAGCTTGTTGCCACACTTGCAACGCCAAGCTTCAGGTAGTACTCAGTGGCATACTAAACCTGGTTGAATCGGCACGTGAACCGGTTTACAAGGTGAGCACTTCCACACTTGGATCTACAAGGGCGGTGATGAACCAGGGCCACCGAGTCGTTTCTGAGCAAAACTCCCAACACCCTGACCCACTTCTCTTCTTACTACCTCTCTCTCCTGGAACCCGCTGCCTGCACAAAGGAACACAAAACCACACTGAGTTAAGCCGGAGTCGAACGGTTACATATACATATATTCAAGGTCGAAAGTCCTATAAACAAAATGGAATTAATTTAAGTTACCGAGTTGAGAAGAGTGATGACTAAAGCGGAAGCAAATAGGAGAAGGTGAGGCAACGACGGTGTGGTGTGGTTGGTGGTGATGGTGGCGGTGGCAGGATACGCCCATGCCGAGGAGGAGCTGGCGGAGGGGAGGTTACAAAACTCAGCTCAAAGAGTAAAGGACTCAGGGAGGAAGAAGATTGTTTTGTTTTGAGAAATGGGAGGGCAGTTGCAATTCTTGAAGGGTTTTTTTCCCTTCTTTTCCTCTGTTGCGTGAGAGTCCAAGTCAAAGACACAAACACACAAGGAAGATTATAAGAGAGAAGGGATTTTTTTTGTTTTATTGTTTGGCCAAATAGGTGTGGCTGGGGTCTACCAATGTCCTGAATGATTGTGATGGTGTTTTCTACTGTGCCTTTGGAGTGGGTGACTTATTACCATTGTACGTTAAAAAACCCAAACATTTGATGGCAAGTAAAAGCATGTTACCACTATACTTTTACTTCATAATGTCAGCTATTTTCTCGTTGATACTTTTGGACTTGCTAAAATTTACCAAAATCGTAAACTTTGTGCTAGTTGGATCCATTACTATATAAGCTCTTCCTATATATTACGATCCTTGAATATATATATATATTTAATATTTATTATTAAATTAAATACTCGAATTCTAGATAAGAAATTTTTATAATGTGATTTGTTGGATCTAGAATTGATAGAGTAGAGTTAACAGAGCATGGGATTGCAAGCCCTCAAATGGTACAAGCATGCTATGGCATTTCTGAAGAAAATTTCTACGGGTCGATGGTAATAGGGTGTTTCACATTGAGAGGCTCGGAAGTCTGGCTCCAGCTCTAGATCCTTTTGTGTTGTGTTCATAACTATACACCAAAAAGTGAAAAGGTTTCTGTTCACGTGCAAGTTGATGTGACAGATATTCATCATGGTTCGGTATGTGAATAGCTCCTTAGTCCTTACCCTCTCTCTGAAAATCTCTACTTGTATTTGTACTCTTATTGTTCACAAACATTTAACTTGACAAAGAAAATGTCAACAAGTTATGAAAATCCCACCCTAGTTTCAATCAAAATCCCATGGTTTGCAACATTGGGCCCTTAACCTGTTGGAGATTAAAGAATGGAAATACTTGATTGAATACAATAATCCTTTTTTCAGGTAAAATTTTGGCAAGTTTCAAGTTGGATATTTTACCATTGGACCTACCTTTCCTAGGTTGGATTGAATCCCCAAACTTAACAAAAATAGGACCCTCATTTCATATTATCACCAGGATAATTATGGGAACATTGGTACCTGTATAGCCATAATAATTGTGGAGAAAGAAAACAGAGGAGAGGCTTAAAACGTAAAATTTCCCAAAAAAAGTGGGTGTTGAGTTGGATGGAAGCAGCAGGCACCCGTGTGGTTGCGTACGTGTGTGAGAGACTAGGGGGCCTCTGATCTGTCCCGTACGGGACGAACATCTGAGTCAAGCCCTATAGCCCTAAGCCACCATTATTGAACCCCCTTTCCTTTTAGAAGCGCTTTTCATGGCGAGTCTTAGTGGCACTCTTATCACGCTATTAAATTTGGGGCGGGACCCCAAGGCCTAAAACCAAAAACAAATTGTTGACAGAGATGGATAACGAGGGGAAGCACCAAATTGAAAGAGATCAAGCCAATAAATTACAATAAATTTTTGTTCTTCTTGTTGTTTTTTGTTTGCGACGACATATTAGTAGGGTTATGGCTCACCAAATAAGTTGGTCAAATTTGATAATAAATGGTCTTTAATTTCTAATTTCACCTATCTGGATGTTAATGTTTGAATATACGATTTTTGTAAGATTATTATGATACGAGTATTATTTGTATCCATATATTATTTTTGTAACATGTGAAATATGTATTCTTAGGATGAGATAGACTAAACAACCTCTTTATCCTAAATTTTTACAAGGGGAGAAGGTTTAATAAATGAACATGACCTTTTTTGTAAGTGAGGACCTGGACCTACTGGTGCCTGCCAGTGGGGTTTGGTCAGTGATCCTTGGGTTTGGTTTCGGTGGCGTTGAGACTTACAGCAGCATTTAAGGCAAAATTCAGCAGGGTCGTTCAGGGCTCTTGATCGGTTGGCTAGGGTCATTGTTTTTCTGGTTCGGGCCTGATCAGGCAACCCATCGACATTTCATGATGCTACATCTCAGTCTAACTGTAAACGCTATAATTCCATGTGGAGTCTACACTCTATCCAATCCTTTTTGGTCTCTGTGGTAAGTGTATTTTTATTAAAAAAAAAGAGAGTTTCATCAGTTTTGTAATGAAAATACTATGCAATTACTAACAAACGTAAGGAACTAATATAATATAAAACTTATGGTATCGATAAGATAATTAGTTCATTATATCATATCCATTAGATTAAATTTAAAAAATTAATATAATAATAAAATAAAAACGTGTAATTTACACAATAAAGCAACCCTTTTAACATTAATCATTTAATTAAAACTTTTGGTACTTTCCTTGTCAGAAAGAGTTTGCCTAATAAACCTGTTGATTGTCTGACATCATGAACAATACTTATAATGCACTTCTTTTGAAAACATAGTCCTATATTCTTCTTCCTTTTTTGTTTTCCTGTTTTTGTCTTCTTTTCCACTATGCTATGGAAAATAATAGTGGTAATTCAAAATAAGACAGGAAAAATGAAACAAGATGTTAACAAGGCAATAATGAAGTATTGGACTGTTTGGAGGATTTGAATTGAATATCCAAACTTTCAAGATTTTCCAATTTCTACTGTTTGGGTGAGGGTGAATGGTGTGAGAGCATGATCATGGAACATGACTTATGACACAAAGAGGGAAAAGCAAGTGGGCCTATTGAAGGACCAAAAGGCCAAGCCATGAACCCTTAATAGGGCCTTTGGAGATTCTAGCATGAGAAGGGCCATGCTTTGAACACTGTCCCTACCAGAGGGACAGTCATGCCAGACAGCTACTACCATTACTTCCAAGGTTTGCACTATATATTCATTGGGTGTAGAAACAAGAAAGGGACACTTCATAAAACTGGGTCCTTTTTTGTGATACTAAATTATGATAAATTAGAAAAAAAAAGAAAAACACCAAAGAGATCTGCAGAAGCCTGTTTGGTCCTTATTACCATGGAAGTTTTCAGTAGTGAAATTATTTTTTAGAACTTTTCTCTATTGATATTTTATAATTTTTTTTTAATTTTCATTATGATTTTTTTTAAATCAGTAGTTTGTGAATAATTTATATTCTCACAAGATAATAAAATATAAAATTCAAAAAACTCTTAAATTTGAAAAAAAAAAACTAATTTTGAATTGAACTTAATTTTTATGAAAACAAAAGACATCTACAAACATATTAGTTGAAAAAAATTATAAAAATATCATAAAAAAGTTTAAATCAGAGACGAAGATGAATTTTCTTTTTTTATTTTGGCTCAAATGCTTAGGAAAATACCGAAAGCCCACAAGAGAGAAAAAGAAAACCCCACTTTCCCTTCTGGTAAATTAAGCTTTTACCTATTTCTAAACAGAAAAAATGGAGGAATGTTGCTCAAAAGAAAAAAACATGAAAAAGGTTACAGCAACTTTTAATATTTATACCTTTTGGTGTAGGCAAACTCGAATTAGTAGTCAAAAGTCATTCTAGGCTGGAACTTGAGCAGACGAAGGAACAATAATTTTACTTCCTTGGCCAATTTATTAAAATAATATATATTTTCAATTCAATTATCTGATCCCATGCCACGTGTCTGAATAACATAGGTTGCTGCTAATATTTCCTTCTAATAATTCCATTAAAATAATAATAAAAAAGAGCTTAACGTTACTAGCAAAAAGGTTCACCTAAATTACCAACATCTGTAACTATTGTTAACTGGTGTACCAACATTTAATAGAGTTCCTAACCACAAAAGAAAATATTAAAATAAAGTTTATAATCTTTATCATTTATTAACCTTAACCCAAAATACAGGCAAGAAAGAATTATCCGTTCTAATTTTAAAAGTAATAAAAAAATTGAACAGGGAGAATCTAAGGACAATGATACCTTAATCTCCTCGCTACAATGACATATTAACACTTGTCAACAGTAAAGTGAGATATTTTTCAACTCCCATTAACGTTTGCCACGTCGCCCCTAAAATGGCAGAACCGCAATTTCTCACATGATTAAGCCCACATTTACTCTCCCTAAAATCTAATTATTACCACATAACAACAACAAAACCTCAGCTTACGTGGCAGCCTAGGGTGCTTCGCAGCTCCTCAAAATCATCCCCCCAGAAAAAATAAAAAATAAAAAATAAAAAATAAAAAAGAAAGTCCCCCATTCCCACCCCGACCTTCTCCCGCAAGATTGCTTAATGCGGCGGCCTCTCTTTTAGTAGACAAAATTGGGCCTTCTAAGTACTTGTATTTACTAGCACTGCCACTGTGGTGGGTTTCCGGCGACGGTTAGATGGATGCGGGGGTAGCGACGACGACGACAGCGACGGAGTCGTTTAGGTCGATACTTGATAAACCCCTCAGCCAACTAACAGAAGAAGACATTTCTCAGCTCACTCGGGAAGATTGTCGCAAATTCCTCAAGGAAAAAGGTTCTTTAGTTTTTTGGGTTTTCCTTTTTCTTTTTTGTTTTCCACTTTTGCCCTTTCTTGGTCTCCGTATTTTCTTAACCGTATCCAGAATCCCGGGAAACATGGAGAGATAGGAAAAATATGTAATAATAAAAATGAAATTATATTGACACGTGGCTTAACAGGAATGCGGAGGCCGTCGTGGAACAAATCGCAGGCGATCCAGCAAGTGATTTCACTCAAGGCCTTGTTGGAGAGCAACGACGATTCCGGTGCCGGAGCTATCCGGAAGATCCTCGTTTCGCCACCATCACCGTCAGTGCCTCCGCAAAATGCAGCGGCGGGTGTGAGTTCACCTTCCTTTTTGCTTCACTTTATTATTTAGAGAAATAGGGTAATAATTTTGGAATGCTCTGTTTAGGTGGCTTCGAATTCATGTGATTCAGTAAAAGAAGCGGTTGTCGGAGAAGAAGGAAGCCCGTATCGGCGAAAAGATCCTCCTTTGAAATCTTCTCCGGTGGGGGAGATAAATTGCCGTGGCGGTGACACGGATAACAAGAATCTCTCTCCTAGGTTTATTTTTTTTCACTTATTAGTATTTAGTCGTATTATTTTTTAAGTTAATGTTGTGTTAGTGTATTTTGCATTCAGGGTTTTATCCGATTCCCTTGGTAGATCTAAAGTTTTACTTGAATTTTGGAGTCCATTTAACTTTTTACGAAGCAATGCAATTCAATAATTGGGCTTTCAGAAGGGATGATATGGATGGGCTCTCTTTATATTTCTTCCAATTTACAATAGTTCATGTTTTATGTGAAATTCTGTCATTCTATTGCCTTTTTCTTCCATTGATTTAGGTGGACTCTATAATGTTAGTGTTGAGGGCATACCATAACACTGGTAATATAGTCAAGGACAACAGTTAACAACTTGAATGTGTGATTTTGGTATGTGCAGATAGGCTGCATGATGTTCAAGTTAGATAGGGTGATGTATAATTGTATGCTTTTGTTTGTATCCTTGACTTTAAGTTCTCAGTGGGATTATTCGTAACTGTTTGACAGAAGTCCATGTGAATCAAATGAGTTGGGTGGGCAAATGACAATTTTCTACTGTGGAAAGGTCAATGTGTATGATGGAATACCACTTGATAAGGTAATGAGGCTTCTTCTTTCTGTGGATACCTGGAGAACAATGATAGCATGTTGGCCTTCCAATGCATCAAAATATGGGTTTGCAGGCACGGGCAATCATGCATCTGGCAGCGACTCCTATTGATTTTCCTCAGGATAATCAATTTAGTGGAAATGCAGCCCTTAGGTCCTTTATGTGCCATGTACAAGCAGTTGGTGACAAAAATGGCCTTGTTGCTTCTACTGCCTTGAATTCTCATACCATGCAAACAGGTTAGGTTTGGAAGGATAAATGAACTGTTTTGTTTGGCTACTGTCAGGAAGGAAATTATTGTGTTTGAAAAGGTTATCTAAGCTATACTTGAACTGTAGCTACATTTTTAGTTAATGGAAAAGAAAAATCAGGAAATGGTTGTTTCTGATGTTTGGAGCAGAATAACATGACTGGGTTTGTGCTTGAAACATATCTATTTGTTATCTAAATAGAAGGAAACTAACTTTCGCCATTTTTATTTAGTGGCAGTTACACTTTATGTAGCTGTGTATCTTCTTTTGAATTGGATATGTGCATCTCATGCCCTATTTCAGTTGCAGTTGTAGAACCAAAATAGAGCTAGGTGCAGTCTAAACATGTTAGGTCTTCTGCTATTCATAATTAATCATTTGACAGTATTTGCATGAAAGACTTGCTTCCAATAATATTGCATCGTTGACAATGTTTTTAAAATCTTATTGCTGGATATGGTAGCTTGGTGATAGTCTAGTGACAGTGATTGCAATTAACTTTGCAGAGAAGATGACAGAATATCAGCATCAGTTTAGGGAAAGAGGAAATATCACTCGTGACTCTGGTATGACATTTGTTTTTCCTTTTCCATTTGTTGTTCTTGTACAGTGTTCTATAATGTGCAAATGTTAACATAACTCCTGTTTGGTGAAGTGATGATTCTATACATAAGTAACTTGAATAAAAGGAAAAGAGTTTTGAATTTCAGTGGCTTTATTCTCCAGCCGAAATGCTAGATTTAGCTAAGCAGGCAGAGCCCTTTATCATGATGATTATTATCTTAACTGTGGAGAGATCCCTAAGGAGATCATGCATAGGGGTTTGTCTACCAAAAACCATACCCATTGTCTGAGCTATAGAGTTGGTTATAGATAAAGTCTAAAGTGAATTCCTGACCATTGATTATTTTGGAACCTCATGCTACTAATTATAGGTAAAGCAAATGTGGAATAATATCGTTACTTATGCAACACAGAAAAGCAAGTGCTTGATCATATTAGTTATCATAGCTAAATAAGATGCTCTTGAAAAGCATATCTGAATGGTTCCTCAAAGGATATTCATGATAATTTATTGGCGACTGGGGAACTAAAAATCTTTTATGCTTGATAACATATGATAATTTATGGCTCTTTATATGCTTTCTTAACAATTGATGGTTGGTCTTAAGATGTAGATGGGCAGGTGAACAGAAAAGTATCATTGCAGAGATATCGTGAAAAGCGAAAAGACAGGTATCTATTGTAATGTATACCACTAATCTTGACTTACTACAACACCTTCAAGGTACTAAACATTTCCAAATTTTAATTTTCTTGTCGGTCTATTTTTTATTAGGGGAAGATTTTTTAAGGGCAGGAAGAATACAGGACAAGCTTCCTCTAGCTTGGAGATGTACCTGAACCATCAGATAAGAACTCACAACTCGAATGGACAATCAAGCCGGAGCAGCACGAGTTCTCCACCACAGTCTGGATTGCCACATGCATTTTGTAGCTCAGCGGACAACCAAGCAAAACTTGTGAATCTTTCTGTAGATCTCAATGACGAAAGTAAGCTATCAAATATCTTCTTTACATTTTTTATGATATAAATATGCTATTTAGTTGGTATTCACAACTAGTAGTTCAGGATACTTGATCATGTATTGGGTAAAGTCTGGTTCTTGTAAGAAATGTGGTGGAAGGATGCACATATACTGATATACATAATTGCTGAGGAACAGTTTTGGCAATCTTTGTGTGCATAGATTGTCAGATATGTGAGGAACAATCTAATAATTTTGCAAGTAATAAATTCTGTTTGATTTTTAGTTGACAACTGGCTATAATATTGTTTACCATATGAAATAGTTGATTCTGGAGTTTTACTTGCATAACCTTTGCACCAAGTGAACCTAATTCAACATAATTACCCATTGGTCGTCCATATCATCCAAAGTCAACCTTGTAAGTATGCATGGGTGGAATCTTATTTGTATTGTGATTTCCATGCAGGTGTTCAAGAACACTGAATTAACTGTGCTTTATACGTCAGAATATATGTGGACTTAAGTAAAGAGATATGATCTTTAGGTGCATTACAGCAGCAGACATAGATGGGAGGAAAAATTAACCTGAGAGCCTTCTACATGCCTGCCTATTATATGATTTGGCTTTGTAAGGGGTTGAGTTTCTCACACGGAGAATCCTCTTTTGAATGGTACGAGTTTTCACAATCCTCTGATCAATTTTGTACTTTGTGAAGCTTAGGACCATCTTCGGGAACTTCTTGTTTCTGATGTTAGGATCTCTTTGGCTTGAGTTATACGGCCACGTGTAGCGGCGGTGCTTTTCTTCGCTATGTGTACATTTTTTGACTTACCTTTGGCTATGCTAATAGCTAAAACTTATTGTACCACTTGAACTAGCTCTCTTTCCTATTAACGACTATCATCATATCCGTATCGTGCTTGTTACTTTCAATTTCAGATTCCGACTCAATTTGGGTTATGGTGAGTGCTGACATGATTCCTTGTAGATAAGCTTTAAGACAGATTTTCTTTCCCAGTTCATATATTTAATTTCCCCATAAAATTTTCAAAAGAAGGCAATTTCTCTAAAATCCCATTCATAATTTTAGACCAGAAAGTAGAGAAAAAAAAAATTAGGGGGAAAGGGTTTCAATTGACGCCAAAAATGATATTATTCGGATTACGGAGGCAAGCACCACAAAAACAAGAAGAGAAAGCCAAACCCCACACGTGGCAAACCTGCAATTAATCAGAACCAAAAGTCTAACGCGACAGAAATCTGCACATCGTTAAATTCGAAACTAGAACTCACTCAACTTCAACGTTGAATCAGAGTCACTGAGTTCCGGCACCGAATCATCATCATCATCCATGGCTATTGAGGTAAGTTTCTTCAATGCCAATTGCATTTCTAACCTCAATCAAAATTAGAGCTTTTGCAATAACCTTGAAAATATGGGTTAACTGATATTGGTTTTTGTCTAAATGGAAAAACCAGGCTTGGTTTACGGATGAAAGAAATGAAGACCAAAGGTTCCCTCATCAACGCAAACCCAACGAGCCTGTTTCGTTGGACCACTTGGCTGGTGAGTTCCATTTCTCTCACTGCTTTTAGGTTTTCTGCTTCTTTTTTTTTTTTTTTTGGGTTAATGAAAATGATGTTGATAAATGGCAGAGTTGGGAGTGCTGTATTGGCATTTGAACCCTAAGGATTACGAGAATGATGAGGAATTGAAGAAGATTCGAGAAGCCAGAGGTTACAATTACATGGTACTTTTGTTTAATTTTTAGCTTGTGTTTTTACTTTAAGGATTAAAGTCAGTGTTAACATTCTGTTTAAGTTCTTTGCCCTATCTGCTTTTTCTATCTATGCCTTGTCTGGTCGTTTATGGTACTTTTGTATGCTTTAATAGAAGCCCTTTCTTGTTTTTCTGATCAGAGAAAGTGATATTCGAATTCGGCTCTTTGAGCAATAGAATAGTTGCACCTATCATTGAGCTTTTTCAATAGTGTAGCTGCTTTCCTTTTTTTTTTTGGCATCTTAGTATGATTGATAACATCCACTAGACCAGGAGTCAATACACACATATCCTTAAAGTAAAAATGAAATTTTGACTTTTTAGATAAGGAAAGCAAACAAGCAAAAAGTAGTTAAGTTGTGAATGTATGAGTTACTTCATCGAGAATTTTTCGAGTTCTGAAAATAGGATCTAGTGTGACCATAGGTAGTCTATCAGTTAACGCAGAACATAAGTTACTAGGTAATATCTAGGCATAAGAACCTTCATATGAATTGGTCATTGTTGTGTGTATAGGATATGCTTGATTTACGCCCGGAGAATGTTGCTAACTTTGAGGAGAAGCTGAGGAACTTTTATACTGAGCACATACATGCTGATGAAGAGATACGCTACTGCTTGGAAGGCAGTGCATACTTTGATGTTAGGGACAAGGAGGACCGCTGGATTCGAATTTGGATCAAAGCAGGTGATCTCATTATATTGCCTGCTGGAATCTATCACAGGTTCACTCTTGACACCAGCTATTATGTCAGGGTAACGAAATCTGCAGCTTCTCATGCTTTAGAATGAAAATTTATTAGTGAATGTGGATATTGAGGAGCTGTGCTTGATCGATTTCTGTGTTTCAATGTGCAGTTGATGAGGTTGTTTGTGGGAGAACCAGTGTGGACAGCATATAATCGGCCACAGGATGATCACCCAGCAAGGGAAGAGTACGTTAAAAGTTTGACTGAGAGAGTTGGGGTGCCACTTGCAGCTAATTAGAGCTATTGAGTACTAGAGTTTATGCTGTTATGCCTCTGCATTTATTGTCTGTATACGTTAGCTGATATGCATAGTTTGGTAAGTTTCTCATATACTAAACGTAGTAAAACCTTATATAGCTGTATATCAAACATTAAACATCATCTAATAATGTATCGCTATTGATGTACGTCTTATTATGATTCGATAGTGTAACTACCTTCTGTGTCTTCATTTTATTGTTCTGCTTCTCTTAAAGCGAATTGGCATGAGAACGAGACACGACCCTTGGTACAGAGGATGGATGTTACAACCTTATTACCTTATCTCTGATTAGTTGATTTATGAATGGCACCACGTCTAGTGCGGTTAGAAATCAATCGGAAAGGGTAATGCGAAGCAGAGGGGGATCGTAATTATGTAAGAGATTTTTCTAATATGATGTAATGCCTGCTATGATTCATCATTTCACCTTTGTTGGGAAATGAAGATTGGTGCTTCTCCTCTACATCTTCTCCCAAGTGAAAATTTTGGTCATACAGATTTGGTTTGCTAGTTAGTCTCCGAAAGTAGAGTCTGAGGCATTATTGAAATCATTTTGGCATTCCCTTTGACACATTCAAAACAGGTGGAGCAAAAATGAGGAACATAGAATTCTTACAGTTGACCAACTTCTGTAAGATTTTCATTGGAGATAAAAGCTGACTTCCCTTCTTGAACCAGGAAAACCAACTTCATCGCTGCTTGGTTTACAGGCAAAAACATGATAGCATATTGACCTGAAACTAGGAAACAAGGTAAATAAGCATCACTAAACCGGCATGGGATGGGAAGGATGACCCGAGCGCCTATGTAAGCCTTGACTCGCGCAATGGTATTGTCAAGTACGCACACGGCCCAGTCACCACCTTCCCCCTCTAAATGACCATAAAGCCCCTCTCCCGCTTCGATGAAGATTCAATTAACCTGGACATACCGCACGCCCCAATAAATTTAAGGGCATCCTGGTCTTTCCATATTTTACTATCGGGCAGTTTTTAAACCCGTCCTCAGATTCTCCGCCACCTCCTTGTGGCGTTGCCTGAAAGCGTTTTGGAAGAAGAGAGATATATTTTTTTTCGCTTGACAGGAACCAAAAAAAGGAGCTGAGAAACATGGGTGCTTCAGATAAGGTAATCTGTTTGTTTCATAGGAAAAAACTGTGTCTTTCATCATTAATTTTCCCAAGAAATTTTTGCTATGAACAGTCTTTGCATGTATCTGTTTATGGGGATACTGTTATGTTAACCGTTTGGGATTCGATTTTAGCGTTTCTTTGTTCAGAAGCTGATGAATTTGAGGGTTTTTTTTTCAATATGGTGAACTGAAAGAGGGATTTTTGTTTAAAAAGAAAAAGCCATGGAATTGAAAAAACCAGTATTAACTTTTTGGAATTTGTTGGCATGACTTGGAAAGTGAAGTTTTATTGGATATCTATAGTATTTTTCTCCTTTTGATTGGTGGGCTCAATTTGGATTTGGTTGTTAAAAATACTTTGGTCTTATTTAATAATGATTTTTATCTTCATGTTCTGTTGACGTTGATGCTTGTAGATATATTGCCGTAATCTTTTACTTTAAAGATTAGAGGTCAAAAAGCCAATTTTCTGGGTCATGTTTAAAGAAATGAATTAAGGATAATCAAGTTCTCCAATTGAGGATTTGATGGATAGGCTTGTTCCGTTGTGTCTTACAATTTTCTTAATGTTTGCTTATACTGCATTGTTGTAAGGACTAGATGTGATATTGAACATACTAAACCTTGCTGACTCCATTCATTCTGCTGTCTTCCCATTCTTGTTTATGATGTGCTGCTGTATGGAGTCAGGAATGAGTTCTCGGTGTAGGGTGCCTTAAAATAGTTAATGTTGACTATCGGTTTTCTTTGGTTGAATGTGCTGTATATTCTATTCTTCATTTCCAAGAAAGATTAAAAAAAAATGAGGTTGAGGTTGCCTGTTGTGTCTCTAACTTTTGAGTTCTGTAGGATTTGAGGGAGGAAGTGATTCAAGCGTGGTACATGGATGATAGTGATGCAGATCAGAGGCTTCCCCATCACCGTGAACCTAAGGAATTTTTATCTTTGGATCAACTTGCTGGTAAGCATCTTAAATAAGAAGTAATTGTCATTAGATCACCAAAAGATTTTAGACATTGTACTCATTGTATGCATTCATGTTTATATTGCAGAACTTGGAGTACTCAGTTGGAGATTGGATGCTGATAACTATGAAACTGATGAGGAGTTGAAGAAAATTCGTGACGAACGTGGTTACTCCTATATGGTCTGTACTGTAATTTTGTTTCTTTTTTCCCCTTTGGTTCCAATGCAAACAAATGAATCATATTTGGCCTTAAGCCTTGTACAAAGAGTTTTTTAAACGCTCATAAGTAAGGTTTGTTATCCATCGAAAGATTATTATTTTCCAGTTGTTTTATTCTGTACTGATACTATTGGATCATTTACCATTAGGACTATAGTAGATTCAAGAAAAGGACATATTAGTTTTTCTTCTAATTTCTTTCTCTGTGTCACATAAGCAGTTTTGGTTCTGTGCTGATACCATTATTTTCCCCTTTGATTCCAATGCAAACAAATGAATCATTATTGGCCTAAAGCCTTATTCAAAGAGTTTTTTTAATGCTCATAACTAAGGTTTGTTAACCATCAAAGATTATTATTTCCATTAGTTTTGTTCTGTACTGATACCTTTGGATCATGACTTATTAGTTTTTCTTCTATTTGCTTTCTCTGTGGCACATAAGCAGTTTTCATTTAAAGCTTTCAATTTCTATATACTTCCTCAAAATAACCTTTAATCAGATTGTACTACATGTTTGCACTGACAAGATACGCTTTTTCTTCAGGACTTCTGTGAGGTTTGCCCAGAGAAGCTGCCAAATTATGAAGAGAAGATAAAAAATTTCTTTGAAGAACATCTTCATACTGATGAGGAGATCCGTTACTGTGTGGCAGGAAGTGGTAAGATCTAGTGCTAACCATTATGTTTAAATGGTAGTCACATTTCGTACTAATTCCTGGCTGTCTAATATCCACTTCCTGGTGAAGGTTATTTTGATGTCAGGGATCACAATGATCAATGGATTCGTGTGTGGGTGAAGAAAGGAGGCATGATTGTACTACCTGCTGGGATTTATCATCGCTTCACACTTGATTCAGACAACTATATTAAGGTACAAACTAATCCTCCTTCCCGTCTATTCGCCCATAAAGTGGACTTCCATTGAACACATTGTTATAGGAGGTTCTCCTCATTCTTGTAATTTGATTTTCATTTTATGAATGAGTGTGAATGTTTGCTACTTAGAAAAGGATGACTGTTCAAACATTATTAAACTTCTGCCACCTCTTCCACCTCGTCAATTGCACAACTGGCTCTTGTTTTCTTAGCCCCAATGATGATTGTTAATATGGGTGTCCTTCTTTAATCATATCAATGGATGTGAATGGTTGATTTTATTTTTGAAAGGATGGCCGCTTTCTTCTACGCGCCTCATTATCAAGTGCACAAGTTCCCTTTTGTCTCCCATCGTGCTTCTGTTTATTTGCATGGGCTCAATGTCATCTGTGGAACCTTTTTATAGTATTTCTAGCATGACTTTGAATCTTGAGAGATTTTTAAAGATACTTACTAATACTTCCCTAGTATGAATTCTAAGCCAAGAGATTTCCTCTCAAATTTATTCACACAGGCAATGCGGCTCTTTGTTGGTGATCCAGTATGGACACCTTACAACCGTCCTCATGATCATCTTCCTGCGAGGTATGCTTCTTTCTTCTAATGCGATGGAAATCTCTACTTTGTCTGCATGTTGCTGGCAAAAAGTATTTGAGGGGCCTATTCTTAAACATTTGATTTCTGTTGCAGGAAGGAGTATATTGAAAACTTTTTGCAGAAGGAAGGTGGTGGTCAAGCTGTTGATGCCGCAGCATGAAATTAGTATTTGCCTCTGTATTGGGTCTTCAAACCTACTATAAATAGGAAATGCTGGAATTTGTTGTAATAAACAAGTGTAGGCTTGTGTGCTTGTACTGCGTGGTTATGTGCGGGTCATTTTACTTACCTGTATGGCTTGTTATATGTAGCTTGCTACATTACTATTCCATACCAAGAACTGGCAATCCTGCTGAGTATTTTTACATGTTATTTGCGATAGGCTCCTAATGATCAAGTACATTGTACATTGCTGGTTGTGTTTTCTGCCTCAAAGTGTTTTGATCCTGAATAATTTGTCAACTTCTCTCCTCTAAACATGCTTTGGTCTAAATTTGGATTTACCATTGCCCATCATGCGTAGCATGTGGTTTCTGCTTATGAAATAAGCTACAAATCTTGAAATTGTTTACCATTTGGCCATATATATCTCGAATGCACGACCCTCTTGAGGGGCGATATGTGCAAACTATGCGCGGGGGAAGATGAGGAGACCTCGAATTTCTTTGCATTTAGACTGTATTATGTACCATATTAGCACCTTGTACACAATACTACTGGCTTCTGTTCATTTGAGAGAGGAGTGCGGCACCTTAATGCCTTCAATAATTAATTGCAATAATTCGTAAGCGAATAACCAACCAGAGAGGATAAAAAGTCCCAAAGCTAAAAACAAATGGAACACCAACAACTCCTTTTAACCTCTCAACTTGCCTATGGAAATTCTGGTCAAATTTGACTCTGTCGGGTATATTCGGATAAGCTCCACACTAATCTTCAATCAGCTGTTGCTTGGACTATTTATTTATTGTCACAGGCAGATCCCCGATCGAGTGTTATTGTCTCTGGCTATCGTGTCTGCTTGGAACGCTGCCACTTGTGTCCC